TTTATCCGGATTCTTCCACGCATCTGCGAGCGTGCGGAGTCCCCGTACTCCCTGCAGCGCCGAGTTTTCGGAGATCTGGTGCAACAGATGACCGATGCGGCTACGCGCCTGGCCCATGTCGTGCTGAGTGGCCTGCAGCAGTCGCTGCGCGTCATCGACAGTGACCGGTACGAAGTTGTACCAATGGTCGGTTTCGCGGGGGTTGGAGTCCTGCGGGACCGGAAGGAGGTGGTAAGGCCATCCTTCAATTGGTGGACGCGGGCTGCGTCCGTCGTGCGAGTAGTTCGCAGGACGAGGAGGGGGGTCGAACGGTTCGCCTCGAATCGCCTGCTGGCGACGTCGACGGTTGGTCTTTTTCCGAACGTACTTCTCGTCGACGAGGTCGGCCTCATATTCCTCTCCGCTGGACAACTCCTCGAAGTCCTGGAAGTCTACCACCGGTCCTCGACCAGTTGCGGGGTGACGACTGGGGGAGCCTAATGACTCCGGGGACGAGGCTGGTGGCATCGCACTAGATGCTTGGTGGGGGGTCCTTGGTGGACCGGCATTGAACGCCGATGCTGATGAGGGCTGCGAGGTCCGTGACGGACCAGCCATCGGCATCGATGACGGCGCAGACGTGGTTGCCCAGGACGACCCGAGGGTCAGCCTCGACGTCGACGACGACGACATGGGCGCGGGTGCCCAGGAGGGCCCAGCCATAGGCATGGGTTCGTCCCGCATTTGCGAGGACCCAGTGTTGACTGGCCCGGATCCTTGAGCGGACGGACGACGCGGACTGTCGTCCCGCGCTGATCGTGACGGACGCGCAGGGTACGCCCTCTGTGGTGACTCCGGGAAATCCGGGTGCCCCGGGGGTACTGCAGGCACTCGCCGTGCTTGGTTGGGTCGTGTCTGACTCGCCCGCGCGCGCAGTCGGCTGTCCTCGCGCATCTGTTCTCGCGCCTGGTCGCATTCCGACCGATACCTGTTGCGGTCGCGCCGGAGCGTCGTCGCCTCCTCTCGTGCTGCCCGGAGCTGTTGCTCCAACTCGTCGGCAAACCTGGCGCGTTCGCGAAGCGAATTGGCCTCTGCCAACGCGGCCTGGAGCTGCCGCTCCAATTCTTCTATCCGTCGCGCGTGCTCGGCGCGGCCTTCTCCCTCCCTGGAGCGCGCATGCTCCTCAAAGTACGCCCAGAACTGCGTCTGCAGCTGAGTCTGCACGGACGTCAACGCGTCCCGGAAAGTCGAGTCCCCCATTGCCGCCTGATAATGGCGCACGAACTCCGTGCAGTGCGGGCACCCCGCGGTGTGCGCCACCAGCAAGTGGTGGTTGGGCACTGCCGCCCACGTCATACCCGGAATGGGCATCAGCGGGGGCATCCCGGGGGCAGGAAGGGCGGCGCGTGCGCAGCACTGTGTGCGGGCGCGTGAGACGAGACTGGTACCGGGGCGTGGTACGGCACTGATTGGTGCGGAGGGGCTTGTGGCACCGACGGTTGCCCTGGAGCAACGAACGGCATTGGCGCGCCGTACGGGGAGACATACGTGTGCGGGAACCCGCCCTGCACTGCTGGATGTAATGGCGCGTGGGAGGGTCCCGCACTTGGGTAGTTGCTGAGCACCGTATACGGTGCGTAGGGGGCTTGGAGAGGTTGGGTGGACCCGGAGGGGTCCGACTGCGCAGGGGCAGTCTGAGGAGGTGGGGCCGGATTGGTTGTCGACGGATCGACGGCCATTTGAGCGGGGTTGAGCGTTGGGGAGGGCGGCTGGGACATGGCGAGCGTGGTGGTGCTGAGGCGCGATGGGTGCGGGGAGAGGTGAGGTGGCAGGAGGTCGATGCAGGCTACGACGAGCTCACCGCTTAGAGCGGCGAGCTCGTTAGCGCCTGCGGAGTTTGAAACTCCGCCCGATCTCTCCAGATCCCCGCGACGCGTCGCGTCCTTTGCTCACGTGCTTACTCGTCCTCTTCCGCTCGCCCTCAGCCGCCGTCTCGCTTTCGGTCGATTTCGACCTGCACTCGTTCGAGTGCGATAGATCCCACAGGATCTATCCTTGCGCTCATATCCCTGGGTCGATTACGACCAGCACCCCGTGGAGTGCAACGCAGCTGCGTTCTACTTCTTTCGCGGCAGAGCTCGCCAGGACTTGACGCCCATCAATCGACAGTACTCGTCCAGGGCAGCCAAGTCCTTGCAATGGTCATAGGGCTCCCATGTATG